CCTTTCTGAGATGTTTTCAAGTACTACAGTTGGACAGAATTCTAAAATCCAATAAAACCATTATAGCTGCCTTTTGGGTGTGACCTTCCTCTTTTTGTAACTGTGTACAACATGCATGTTTATTTAATAAGGTATGTATGTAGTCCTATGTAAAGCTGCACAAGTCCTGCACAAGCTGCACTTACAATTTTGCCTTGTATTTTTCTCTGTAACCCAAATGCTTATCTACACAAGTTTAATTGTACTGCGGCTAAAAGTGCAGCATGAATCCTTTCTGTTGACCGGAGACTTCTGAACTAAGACAAAAAGATTAATACCTTTAAAGACCAGACAGAAAGATGAAAATGCATTGAGATGTTTTCATGTAAAAACGAGACGTTTTATAGGACTTAGCATACAATAAAGGTTAGTTCTTCCTGTACTTAAACAGGAGAACCTAGTCTCATGTGCTCATCTTGTTCTTCAGAAAGCAGTCTTACTCTCTCTCTCAGTTTCTCTATTTCTTCCTCTTGCTGTCTCACCTTCTGTTGTAGGTTAGAAATAACCTGAAAACAAGAGTCACTTTACTTAATTTATAGACTGGCAAGGGTAAAGCTTTATTAACCTATTTGAATCATGTTTACAATCCACTACAGACACATTCTGGGGCACCACAGCTGTTCTGCATATTTGATACTACAAGTTAATCCACAAACAAAAAAGTGGGGCAAGGAAAAAATGGTAATAATTCAGAAGCTTTTCTGACCTATAAAACTACCTCAAGCTGTATGTAAATCAAGTGTCCAGTCTTTATAAAGTTACCTGTACTTAATAACCATTTATCTCATTTCACCAGAAACATTAATATAGTGGGCTAAATACTGTCATCAGGAAGGGGGGGGGAATGGGGGGACACGAACCCCAGACTCAATCACACAGTCCTCAAGTTAAAAACAAAAAAAACCCCATAACAGAGGCAGGGAAACTAAGGGGATTTTCTTTTCATATTTCTTTACCCTGTAAAGGTTGAGGTTGTTGGCGTAACTTACATGTTCTGTGGTATGAAATAGTTCACTTTCACGAAGCTGAGCAGCAGTTGGTCTATCTGTAGATCTGTGACTGGTGAGGAGTTTAACGTACTTGGCTTGAACGGGCCATTTTTTGTAGAAAGTATGAGGAATTTGTCCATTCCTTAAATGTGTGAGAACTTCTGTTCTTTCCATTTCTGTTCCAAACGGTTGGAAGAGTTCTAGCAGGATAACACCCATGCTGTACATGTCTGACTGGTAATGGGGTGAAGAAAAAGTTCTGGGATAACTGCTGGTTTTAATTGCTAGATTTCTTACAATGAAGTTTCATGATGATATGAAAAATGTTATGACACTACTAAAGGCACACAAATTCAAATCTATATAGATTCCTCAAGACAATCTTAGAAATAATTTTTGCATTAGTAGCAAACTAGAAGGGAAAGCTGAAATCCATATTTCAACAAAACCATTAGAAGTAACAGTAGGACAAATATTTCTGTATTTACCAAATATTATGCATTTACCTACTGAAAGGCTTGTTTTATTCCTATTATCTATCATTTGTTAACAGAAAAAAAAATACTCCCTACCTTGAAATCATAGTGAGATCCCTGCAGTTGTTCTGGTGAGGCATAGAGGCAAGTCCCCACGCCTGAAGTATGGGTCAGTCCTTTAAAAAGGCAATTTAGACTTACTCAGCCAGTGTTACATTGTTACCATTTCACTTAACCATTTCATATTTAATGGTTTTACTATCACAGAAATCCCACGAAGCTTTTTTCTCTTACCATTTATCCTTTCGGTCTTAAACCACTGGTCTGCATCATCACAAAGAAGGTCTTTGCAGGCTAATCCAAAGTCTCCTATTTTAACATGATGATCTGATCCATGTAGAAAGATATTTCTGGGCTACAAAACAAGACAGTATAAAATCTAAAATATGTCTATATAAAGAATTACGAAATTTCATCTGTTTCAAAGTCTATAAAATCCAGTGTTTCACAGGTATAATTATTTAACACTTTCATTAGTGAGAGAGAAAAAAATAGGCATAGCTGATACCAAATTATGTGTTAGCAACACCATTTGGGTAGAAAAGACCATATATGAAAGATACAGAAAAAAGGAAGAAAAGCAAAAGAGGAAAACCAAAGATTTAGTGGAAAGATAAAGTACCTTTCTCCCTCCCCCCAGCAGAAAATGAGAAATTTGCAGAACAGTAAGGTTAACATGAATAGGCAAGAGCAGACAGCGAGTTAGACCAACTGATGTAGCACGAAGAAGGACTAAATATCCTCTTTGGGATAGACATAATGTAAAATAAAATACACTCTTCTATATGACAAGCACAGCCGCAACATGCATTCAAAAAACATGTAGATATGGCACTTCAGGATGTGGTTTAGAAGGCATGCTGGTGATGGGTTGACGGTTGGACTAGATCTTGGAGGTCTTTTCCAAACTTGATGATTCTATGTTACTATGCTACTTGGTTCTGGGAAGCTGCTCTGAAAAAACCCAAAATGATGAGAGGCTTGAGTAGAGAGCACTGACTGGAAAAAATTAAATAGTTTTATCCATGTATTTTGGCTTTAGGACGACCAAGGAAGAGAAATGCTAACATTATGTATCTAAGAAAAAAGACATATTTTCCAGAAAAAACGTAATACAAAATTACTGCGTTTACTTAGTCTGTATCACAAAGTTTCTGAGCATAGGTACGTTTGGATGAGAAATGAATGCACTATTGCTTAGTACAGGATTTTAATAGTTTTATCCATGTATTTTGGCTTTAGGACGACCAAGGAAGAGAAATGCTAACATTATGTATCTAAGAAAAAAGACATATTTTCCAGAAAAAACGTAATACAAAATTACTGCGTTTACTTAGTCTGTATCACAAAGTTTCTGAGCATAGGTACGTTTGGATGAGAAATGAATGCACTATTGCTTAGTACAGGATTTTTTCTGAAAAGAGCTTGGCCCCATCCTCCTGACACCCACCCTTCAGATATTTATAAGCATTTATTAGGTCCCCTCGCAGCCTTCTCTTCTTCAGGCTGAACAAGCCCAGCTCCCTCAGCCTCTCCTCGTAGGGGAGATGTTCCAGTCCCCTCATCATCCT